GAGAACATGGGACAGTGCATGTCTGAGCACTGAGGCTTTAAGAGTTATGCATATGCAGTTTATAGGCGTGGCTGTTGTTGTTTGCAAGTCTGAGCAGCAAGGCTTTAAGAAAGCTAAAGAGAGGACTGGCGGTGTGGCTCAAGTCATAGAGCACCTGCTTTGCAAACATGAAGCCCTGAGTTCAAACCCCAGTACCACCACCAAAAAAAAAAAAAAAGAAAAAAGCTAAAGAGAGAACATAGGTCAGTGCAAGTCTGAGGGCAAAGACTTTGAGAGAGAATATGTGAAAGAACAGCTAAGAGAAAACATGGGACAGTGAGAATCTAAGGAAAGAGGTTTTAAAGAATAGTGAAGCAAGGTTTTGAAGACTTTAGAAGCAAGATTTTAAAGAACTGTAAAGGAGTAAGGCCTTAAAGAATAAAGATAGAGATAAGAAGCAGAGTAAATGAAGAGAGTAATAGAGAAAAGAAGCCCAACACACCTGATCCCACTTTCTGTCTGTCTGTCTGTCTATTCTGTATCTCCTGTCGCAGCCCAGTTAGCCCCAGTTAGGTTCGGTAATAACCAGAAGCGAGAGAAAGCTTGCTCCAACAAGGGACAGAGAAAAAGATCACTCCATTTATGTATCCTAGGCCAGCCTCAAATTCATGATCCTCCTGCCTTCTGAGTGCTGGGATTACAAGCATGTACCACCACTCCTGGTGACAGATTTTGATGGAGCATTATCAAAAACTGGGTGAACCAGTGGGAGCCCTTATGGATGCCCCAACATTGGAAAAACTATAAAAAAATGCACTGTACCATAATTTAAAGGAACATAAAAAAATGGGAGGCAAAGATGACAATGAAAAACCTCCCTTTTGAGGCAAATGATCAGGACTACGACTGACAGAGAAGCCGGGATTTTTTCCTTTGACAACTCTCTGACTAGGAGCAAAAGGCCATTTTCACACCTGTAGGTAAAATAGGAGGTAAAGAAAAAAAACTTCCCAGGACTCCTTGGCGTAGGAGTCCAGTGCACTGTGATTCCCAAACTTGTTGGTGATGTCCTAACAAGGACTACAATGAGACTGGGAGGATATGAGGATGAAACAGTTGATGGAAATTAAGTAAAATTGTGGGTGAAGAAAAGAATGTTTGAAGAAACTACAAAAGTTGAGTGGGTCACTCAACTTTCCCTGAGTGTGCTCTGGGAAGGATGTTAAATCTTCATGACCAGACATTTTAGCTACTGTACTACAGAGCGCATGTTGGCTGGCTTGTATTAACTAGATATACTAAAAAAGAACCTACAGAATTTTCCCAGCCTACACAGATTATTAATTCAAAACATTATCATGGAGAACAAAAAGTTTATTATTTAAATTAGTAACATTTTAGAAGTTCGGGTGCTGTACCATAGCCTTTTGTATCCCAAGATAAAGGCAAATGATTCACAAAGAAAAGCAGATTATCAAGACTTGAACAAAGTGGTGTCACCTACAGCACCAGCAGTACCTAGTATGGCCTTAACAGTGCCAAAACTACAAAGAAGTAAGGGAGACTGACTGATACTCAGTACCTGATCATAATATGTTTTTTTCTTGGTCCTAATCTCAGATAAAAATTAACTGTGATATGGCTTCAGCTGGTAATGATTCCATTTTATTATATTGTCACAGGGTTATATGAATTTACCATCTTTTCTCCTAATTCGTTTAGATGGAATTTTAACTTGATGTGGGTCCTGAATAGGAAAACTGACAAAAGGGATGTTATTAATAAAAGGTACAACAGAGCAAGATGATATAACAATTATAAACATTTACATACCCAATAATGAATTATCAAACTATATATATATATATAGCAAAAATTGACAGTATTAAAGAGAGAAACATACACACAGGACACTTTCCAGGATAAACCACGTATTAGGTCACATATTAAGTCTTGACACATTTAAAAAGATAGTTATCTTGCAAAGATTCTTCTGTAACTACATTGGGATGAAGTCTGAAATCAGAAACAGAAAAATACCTAAAAAAATTCACAAATTTATGTAAATTAAAAACACAAAAGAGAAATTAGAAAACAGAGATGAATAAAAGCAAAAACAGCATACTAAAACATGGAATTCAGCATAAGTAATGGTAAGGGGAAAATTTACAGTTATAAATGCTTACCTTAAAAAGGAAGAAATTTCTCAAGTCAACAACCCAACTTTATAACTTTAGGAAGTAGCAAAAGAACAAACTAAGTCCAAAGCTAGCAGGAGTTAAAAATAAAGATGAGCAGAGTGATAATTAAAAGAGAAAAATGAGAGAAAATCAACACAACGAAAATGTTGATTTTTTGAAAAAATTAGCCAATTTGACAAATCTTTAGCTAAACTAAGAATAAATATATAAGGAATGAGGGACACAGAAAATCTCCAATAGAATGTCAAAGTAGCTGGGCTCGTGTGGCTCATGCCTGTAATCCTAGCTACTCAGGAGGAAGAGATCAGCAGGATCATGGTTCAAGGTCAGGCTAGGCAAATAGCTTGTGAGACCCTATCTCAAAAACACCAAGCACAAGAAAAGTGCTGTTGAAACAGGTATGAGGTCCTGAGTTCAAACCCCAGTATACCACAGTAATAAGTGCTGTAGACAAGATCAACGATTGGTATCAAAATTAATAGATGAAAACTTATAAAGAAACTGTATTCGTACAATCTCAGAGTATTTCCTTTAGATATTTCATTACAAGGGAAAAATAGTAACTTTATAGTGGAGAAACCCAGTAGATAGCATCTGGATTAAGGGATCAAGGCTTACTTCCTGATATGATGCTCTAAAAGGACACACCAGTATGTAAAACCTCAGGTGTCGTCAGACTCCAAAATGCCAAACTGTTCCATCATTTTGCTATAAATAATCACACTTTTTTCAAAAAAAAATATACCTGTTGGGGAAAAATATACCTGTTGGGGAAATCAGGAAAAACTATATCCATCAGGATATTCTATCATTTGTGAAATATACCCAAATCTGTGTAGACACCCAGTGTCTAATATGGCATTCTCAAGTTTGATGAAAAGAGATTAAATAATAGAACCCAGGTGAGGCGGTATATAAAGGGAAACAGAGGAACTGATACTTACTGGTGCTGAGACACAATAGGCGGTAACAGTAATAACAGCAAATACCTAAACAACATTGTTTTCATTTCATACTATTTAAATTGTAATGACTATGCAATTTTATTTATAAAATTTGTTTAATTTTGATGGCAAATACTATCGCAGTTATTTACTAATTCAAGCCTGACAAGAAACCTAATAGGTGAGTATTATCATCATTTTGCAGAAGAGGAAAGGTGAGAAATCTGGGATCATTTAGTATGTGGCAAAGGCTTCTACACTATACTTCCTCCCAGAAAATAGCAGTTTAGTTAATGACAAGTGCCAGGAACTACATGCTAACTACTTTACATATCTTGATCCTTATCATACTGAAAGCCAGTAGATTTTATTCTACCAACTTTACAAATGAAAAAAACACAAAACTCATGGACAACATACTGCAGGTTATTTATTAAGGCTTCTATCTAGTAACTGTGAGAAGTGCCCCTTTGCGTGAGTCACTGTGTTGAGCAAATAAATGTGACCTCCCAAACATTCTCGAATGCCATTTAGGGAAGAGTACACCCCTAAAAAAATGGTTGCTACAGGTTATTAGGTGGGATGTGAATCTTGGCCTGCACAACTCCAGAGCAAATGTTCTTTTCAATAGGAGACTTTGACTTGTGAAGAGCTGAGATGGAAGCAAATGCACAAAGACGAGGGAACACACAGAAGGAACAATGCACTCTGGATGAGGGAGCTACAGTTGCAAATGCCTGAAAGTTAAAGTAGTATTTAAAGTATAACCATAATATTATATATCATTGAATTAAGACATAGAGCATAGACTAATTTGTAAAGTATGTCTCTCAAACTGGGATTCAAGGCAGAACTCAGGGTGAGAAGTGACACTGTTAACATGTTAATTATTTGCAAAGGTCTATGATGGATAAAGTTAGGGTGTGGGAATTAAGGCCTCCCAAAGGAATTTCAAACACTGTCATTTCTTTCAGTCTCACCATTCTAGTATTTTAAAATCTGGTTCAGGTATTTTCCATCTGAGGTTAATATAAACTCTACAAATTATGAGCACAAAATCATTTACACTGTTCTACTCTTTCATTTAGTAACAAATTATGAACATTGGGCTGTTATGGCTTGGCTGTAAAAGCCCCTTCCCCCCACCCCCCGCCCCGAGGTCAAATGCTCAAGGCTTGGCTGCCAGTTAATGAATTGTTGGAAAATAACTGGACCATGAGCACTCTGATATTGTTGGATGAACACGCTGATAGGTCATAACTGAACAGACTACTGGGAGATGGGAAGAGCTGTAGGAAGTGGAGCCTCGCTGGATAAAGGAGGTCATTGGAGTGTGCTGTGGAGCAGTGCATCTCACCCCTGGCTCCTGATCTGTCTCTCTGCTTCCTGAACTCCACCTCGTGCTTCCCATCACAGCGCTCTGCCTCACCACGGCCCAGAAGCAATGGACCCAAGTAGCCACAAACTGAAACCTCTTCAAACGGTGAGCCAAAATAAGCCTTTCCTCTTTTTAAACTGTTTCTTTGGTATTTTGTCACAGCAAAGAAAAATAGACTGTCGGGGGGGGGCGGTTAGAATATTAAAAAGCACCACTAGTGTAGTTAGTGGTGGACATCACAAGTATATAGTGAAAATATACAAACTTACACATCTCCACTCCCTCAAGGGAATAAAATAGCTTCAGTATAATTGATACAGTATCATAAACTTTTGAAAACCTTCATATAAATATTAATAGATATTACAGCAGCAGTAGACTACAATCACTACTGTGATTTATCAATGGGCCTTCTACTTTTTAGTACGTGCATCAAGGAGCACAGACACATGTTTACACTGCAGATGAACATTCATTGCCAACCCTGTAATCATTTACCTTTGCAATGATGACTTCCTTCTTCAGAATCTTCATGGCGTAGTATTTCCCACTTGCCTTCTCTCGAACCAAAATAACTTTCCCAAAAGTGCCTTTACCTAGTAGTTTCAAATAGTCAAAATCATTCATTGTCTGAAAAATATAAATTAGAAAATCTACTATGAAATATTTGATACAGTTAATTTGTTAGCATGTATGTATATATTTGCAATATCTACTCAAAATTGTTTTTATCAATTTCAAAGTAACCTTAAATGAAAAAGAACTGAACTGCCACTGGTCGTCTCACTGGCAATCAAGGATGCTGAAAATAACTTAAGCAGTACTCAAATACTGAAGAAAATTATTTTGATTGTACAAATTCTCAGCCAGTCTAATGAAAGGGCATGGGGGTAAAAAATGATTTTCACGGACATGAGTTTTCATGGATTTAATAGTGCTGCTACCCTCAGACAATGTGATAGTCAAGAATATACCAAAAACATTTCCAAATATGCCCAAAAGAGCAGTGCTTCTGAAGGAGCTACTTGGAAATGCACTCCAGCAAAATAAGGATGGAATCCAGAAAGAAATGTTGAGTACAACCCTGGATCTCAGTTGCAAACTACAAAAGACAGCAGTTGTGACTTCTGAGAAAGCAACTGGTGCAATTCAGAACAAGAAGGCAGGTGTCACTAAGGAAAATGTCTAATCTGCCTTTTTAAGTTTCCCTTCTAATACCTACCTGAGTCAGGTGATCTCCACAATTCTCAAGGTGGACCTGGCTCTTATTCACTACAGTCCCTTACTGTATATACTTCATGTGCTCTGTTTTACTACAAACTTCTACAATTTTAAAATTGTCAAGCAATATACGTCCCTTACCCAGCTTTTCATTTTTCTGGTCTTACCTCCTTTTGAAATTCCTTTACTATTACTTAAATAGGCTTTTTGATGGGAACTGTGTATACTAATTACTTTCTTTACTTTAAGCTCAGTTTAGAGATTTGTGAATACAAATTAGGCACTTAGGTTTTATACTGCACAGAGAAGTCACTAAATGTCACAGTTCCTTTTATAACTTATTTCTGTTTGCCATCCATCAGAAGTAAATATGAGAATGTGTCAAATCAATTGGCTTCAGTTTCTACCTTAGAAAACAAGGAAAAAGTAAACTAAACCCCAAAGTTTTAGAAAAAAAGACATGATAAAGCAATAATCAATTCAATTTTTTAAAGAAAAGAAAACAGTAGAGAAAAAAAAATCAATAAAACCAAAAGCTTGCTCTTTGGGAAGATCAATAAAAATTGATGTCTCCATCCAGATTGATCAGGGAAATAAAGATAAGAAAATATAAATTACCAATGCCAGGGATAGGAAAGGTGAAATCACTATAGATTCTAAAGGGATACTCTAAATAACTAAAGGGATTTTCTAAAGATCGCAAAGGGAACAGAAGAGACAGCTTTTTGCCAGTAAAACTGACACTGAGATGAAAAGCAAATTCCGTGCTTATCTCAAACTACCAAAGGTCACTGAAGAAGTTAATAGATAACTATCCCTGTATTTTTAATGCAAATTGAATTTGCACTCAAAAACTTTTCAACAAGTGAAACTCTAGGTGTAATAGTTTCACTGGTGATTTTTACAAACATTTAAAGAAAAAAAATGGTGCCAATTTTATACACATTTTCCTTAAAACTGAAAATGAAGAAATAGTTTCCAATTCATTCTACGAAGCCAGAATTACTCTGATACCAAAACAGACAAACATACTGCAAGAAAACTATGGACCGACAACCTTCATGTATACACATGTAAAAATTCTAAATGTTAAAAAATAATACTTAAATTCATTTCAACATAATTTATTGCCTATAATGTTGATAATTTTCTCCAAATGTCAAGTTATAATGTCTTAACCATTCAATAATATCTCTACTTCAAAGGAAAAGGTAAGCGGCAAAAAGGTAACGGGAAAATAACGTGGTTGTAAATATATGGGATACAGTAACATTCGAGTATTATTTGAATGAATACAGTATTCGAGTGGATAACAGTTAATGTAAGGTAGATTTAATTTTATTAGCAGATTTAAAAAATAGGGGAACTACTTGACGTAGGCAGTCTCCAAAGATAGGGGCTTTCTTCCCATGAAGTAGAGTCAACTCTCACACCCTTGGCTTGGCCTGTTTTGTGTTTTGAACATATACTAGGGATCGAAGTGATATTTTGCCAGCTTGAGAGCCAGCCTTTACATCTGGCAGCTTATCCTTTCTCCTTAGGAAGCTCTAGAAATGCAGCTCTCCTGCGATAAGGAAGCCCAGGTTATCTTGCTAGAGAGAAAGAGCAGGTGGGCAGGCCTTGGAAGATAAAGATACTACATGAAGAGAGAAACCATGTGCACTGCCCCCAAGGGACCACAGCTAAAGTAAACAAAGTACCACAGACAAAATAACAGACATGAAAGCCAAGACAGAAAGCCTTTCTTGGATTTTTTTTTTTCTTATTTCAACTCAGCCCACATGCAGCTGAAGGAAGCTATGCAAGACCATCAAAATGAACCACCAAACAACAAAATCATGAGAAACAGTGCATGGCTATCATTCTAAGGTATTACAATTGGGGGAGTTTGCACCATGGCAATAAACAGCTGAGAGTCTCATAACCAGGAGTATCACATGCTAATATCTTCCTAATTTTTATCTAAAAGCACTAGAAAATGATAGTAAACTATACCTAATTACTTGTATCATAGAAAATAAAACTGAGATTAGGGGATAAAAACAGAAAGTAATTTATATACACTGCTTTATGATATTCTCAGATGAAAAGCAATGTCTAGTTATAAAACATTACTCTATTCCTGAAGCACTGAAACTCTTAGAGACAATGAAGTTTTTAAAAATGATAGCCTTAATTGAATTTCACAGCTTCTGTCACTTTGTCATGCTTTAAAAAAATGGAATTTTCATGGAACTTGGTATTAGTTAAAAGGCATCCTATATGACATATAGGTTGCCTTTTAACCTATATCATATCTATTTTGATATCATAACCTATATCATATCTATATTCATATCTATTTTGACAAAACTTCAGAAAATTAAAAGGTATCTTTACTACCAAATGCTGACATTCAGAATGGCATACACAGACAGCACATGCTCTTTATAAATGGAATATAAGCTATTATAAAATGTTTTCCTCTTTTGGATGATGTCAAGGGATAAGATAGAAAAAACACTTTAATTTTAAAAAATGGAAACATGAAGCGAGACATGGTAGCTCACACCTATAATCCCAGCACCTAAAAGGCAGATCAGGAGAACTGCAAGTTGAGACCAGCCTGGGCTACACAGTGAGATACTGTCAAATGAATGAATAAATAGTGTGGATATTCTTCAGAAAAATTAATTCTCTAAAATCCAATCCTAAGAATTTATTAGGGAAATTTTTATGTGGCTATACTGTTTCCTTTACATGTTTATTTTGTGGTTTTAGGTCAGGAGATCAATATGTATGTATAATGAATATCTGGTAAATATACTGAAATCAAAAAGAGTAAGTGCTGCAGTTACTCTTTAAATGCAGTAACATTTTAAACACAAGTACATAATTTATGAGGAAAATAAGAAACCTAGAAAAGAACAGCAAGGTGCTGGCATATGAATTTTGAACAGATTCACAATGTTAAAGCAAAACCAAGTAAGTAAAAGGGGAGAAGGAAGCCTTGCAGCTGGCTGTCTGCCCACATCACTCCCACCACGTTCTTTCTCGCTGGACAAGGACAAGCAAATCTCGTCCAACACTGGTCCTCACACATGGCAGCTCAGGGCTCCGCCATGGAGTCACAGGCCCAGTCAATTCCTCAGCAGTGATTATGCCAGTCTTCCTCTTGAGTCAGCAGACCCAAAGGTGAGACCATGTGATCTCAGCAGGACTGATCACTGCATGGTTTCTAATCCCAAGTTGGAGTTAATGAGAATGTAGAAGACACTGCTTATACATCTTGACATTATAGAACGGCCTATACCGAACAACTGAAAATCCAGAACTTTCTCTTTTAACTTTTTATCCTTACATGCTGTTCCTTTTCATATACGTATCAGGGTGGGAATAGAAGAATGGCAGCCTGGCAGACCAAAACTAGACACTTTTGAGTCCTCTAATCAAGTTTTTTTGAAACACCCTCTTTAAATGCAAATATAAAACAGCACTAAAATTTGGTTGCCAGGTCCTTGCCTCTCTTCTCCCTATTCTTCCCTCTCCATGAACCCTAACTACAGCATAGATACTGTGGCAATATTTTATGACTATGAAAAGTAATCACTTCGCTGTCTGCTCCGTACAAGAGACAGCAGTCAACACCACTCAGCATCACCACCACAACCAATAGCTATCCCTAAGTCCCATTACCCATCTGCAAAATGTAAAGAAGCAAATGTACTCCACAAATTATGAAAAGAACATTCTTATTTTGAATTTGTGTTAGTCCAAACTAAAAAAAACCTCTTAACTTCTGTGATTCTTTTCATGATACTTGATACACATAAAGGATACAGTTACAGAGTCATTTATTATATGCAAGTGGCACTAACAGTTGATCACTTGTAACTGAGTCATTAGGTCCATTACACATCAGGTAATGGTACAAATGTTTCCTTTCTACATGTTTTGTCATTTAAAACTATTTTATTGTATTTTTACCAGAACATAAGTAAAACTATTTTAAATTATTTCATTTAAAATGAAATGAAATCAAGAACAATGGAAATCAAGTATGGGTAAGACAGTGAGTCCCAAATAAATGAAAAATATTCTATCAACTTTTCATTTTGGAGAATCAGTTTTATAAAGAATTGTAAGAGAATCTTTACAAAGAAATTTATATTTAATTATCTTTATGTGGCCAAACAGAGTACTAGCTAACTTTAGTAGCTAATATTCCTTGTATACTTACTATATGTAAGCACTTTATACATACTTCCTAATTTTAAGCCTCACAACTATGAGTTAAAAAATACTACTATTATCGTCCTTTGGTAGATAAAGGAACAAAAAGATGAAAGGATTAAGAAACTCCCACACCATTATACACACAAGGCCAGGATTTCACTCAAGCAATAGGACTTTGAGGTTCTCTCTTTTTACCACTATTTTGTAACATCAAAATTCTAATTAATTTCCCCAAGAATGCTCCAAACAAAATTAACTCAATCCAGGCATTGTGCTGAACAACTTTTCTACAATATTTTAAGAAAGAATACTAAGAGAGAATATTTACATAATTTTATTTCCTGCATAACTTGCTTATATTACAAGAACTACAGATTGCAAAGAGTCAGTATACATGAACCAGAAAAACCAAGTTAAGTTCCATAGTAAGTGTGTACAGTTTAATTAAAAGACTTGTATGCTAGAGTAGGATGAACTCGTCTATCAGATGACTCAATTATAAAATGGGTTAAAAGTTATCTACTCAGATGATTCTTAGATGGTTTAAAAGAGATAGTATATATGAAAGTACTGCTGAAAGCCTACCACAAAATAAGCATACAATAAATGTTTACAAGTGATAACTACTGATGGGGATGAATTGCAAGAAAATACACACTATAAATTTTCAAAACAGGAAAATGTATTATGCTTTTATAATCATTTATAACCAGTCTTAACAGGAAAAAAAATCCTCATTTATTTTTCCACTTTTACACTGCTTAAAATTGTCTCTTCATTTAAAAACATTCTGGTAATTTTCCTTGTCTATTTCCAAAAATCTTCCATCTACTGGACATAGTGCTTAAAGTTAGAATGTGATAAATTCCCCATTTTCAACCTCTGCTTTAACAGTAACCTGAATCTATTAAGCAGATGTTTAGGAATTCCAGAGAATTACAGAGGGTTGAGCAGGAATAGCTTATTTTTGAATGGGGAAGTCTAAAATTCAAAAGATAAAATTAATTGGGACCTGATTTTAAATTTGTCAATATAGTAATACTTTGAGTTAATGGTGTACATCTTCACACATCTATGCAAAAGAAACTTTTTTATTTCTGAGTTGGTAATTAAAGCTAAATTGTTGTTCTTTTTGATTGTGGAACACAGCAAGTTAAACTGACCTAAGAGGTACTCAGTTCAACCAAAAAGAGGATTAGTCCACAAAGATGACAAATGTTCATATACACATCTGGCCAAGATTAAGCATCAAATATTACTTTAATTAAAACAAAACTTCACATTAGGGAAGAATAATGAACGCTATAAAGCTGTGACTGTTATTATTAAGATCACATTTAGTGTGTGGAAGAGAGAGGATCTGATCTCAGGCAGTATAACTCCAGAGTTCTTTTCCTTAAATTTTATATTTTTCCATTTTTTTCTTAATATCAAATTTGGGGCTGGGGTATAGCTTAATGTTAAGAGTGCTTGCCTAGCATGCACAAGCCCTCGGCTCAGGTTCAATCACCAGCACTGCAGCACCCCACACCCCAAAAAAACCCAATCAAATATTATGGATAATACTTGAGTATTTGTGTTTTCTTACCTGAAGATTAACTCATAAACTGTTATATCAAATATATTCCAAGTTATAGAGAGATAATGGCATGTTGATCTCCTTTCAAAACCCTAATTTTGAGATTAATTTCAAAATACCATTTTTTCTTAAGGAAGTTGCTTCTGAATTTTCTGTAGCAGTGAAAAACATTATTTACATTTTCCATAAGTTGGGACTTATGCTGGAGGGCTGAGGAAAGGAAGCCTGGTTTCCTAATTTGGCTCAGGTATTAAAAGAAAAGCCATTATTTCTGAGACTGCTCATGTCTCAGCTGACTTTAGAAAGGATGAGGGCACTAAGCAGGAAGCACACAAGGCCATGTCTGCTTCTGCTTTTCCAAATGCAAAAGGAAAACATTTTCAAGTTTCTAAAATCGTATTTAAAAACAAGGGGAAAATGCAAATTATAAAGATGTGTGATAGTCACAACTCTCTTGCAAACCTCATCAGCAATCAGATCTAAAGTGCTGGTAAATCACTTGGTTTTAAATGATAGATATTTCAAGTTAAATAAACCTGAAAAAGTATAAAGTAACAGCCACTGTACATAGCTCATAAGCAAACTGGCTGACTCCTGTCTTACATGTGGTGAGAGCATGTGTCCTGCAGAGGAACAAGCGCTGTGCTAGCGGGAGATAAGCTGTCACTGTCTACCTTTCTTTTGTGGTGACTTGTAGAAGCGTCCATCTCTTCCTCTCCTGCATTGTCAATTTGAGAAGTTGGACTACAGTTCATTCTCTCCTCTTCTTGCCTCTGCAGTCTGTCTGCCACAGCCTGGATAGCTTCTGTCCATTCTTCCCTATAAAAATAAGTAAAAATTTCTCATTAACAGAAGAGGATGAGAGATTTAAATATTTTATAATCTATGAAACCATAAAATCAACAAAACACCTATAACTGGATAACCCCCACTTCTCTACCATCACCCCAAGATGAAGAAGCATTTTGAAAAGCATACCTAAAACAGAAGGAGCATTTATTTTAAGGTATGTTTCACAAAAATTAAGAAGGAAACAAATTATTTCAATCTAGAAAGAATCACTTAAACGTACAGATAAATTTTACTTGCATATATCCTACCTATTATGCAAATTGAGTCTCAAAAGACCACTGCAGGTTTTTTTAAAGTTTTCTTTAGCCACTTCAAGTTCACCAGAGACATCTCAAGAAGTTCCAATAGAAGATTCTCAAAGTTAAAAACACAGAGCTCCAAATCATTTTAATTCATTTCAATCTATTATGGCATGTGTACATGTAAATGACTATTTTATCTTCTGATTCAATTGACCTTTTACTCATTTATATAATAAAATGGCCTAGCAATCTATGATAATGCATTTTGGTTTTAGATATCATCCAGTATGGCAAATCCATCCTTCTTATGCTTACTGTTTCCAAGACACATCTCTTTATTAGTGTATATTTATAGTACAAAGGGGTATCATTGTCATGTATCTACGAATGCATGGAATATACTTTGATCAAACTCATCCCCTGTGCTACTCTTTTCTATCACTCCCCATCCATACAATAAATTTTATCGGGGCTCATGTTGCTATTTTCATAAGTACAAGTAAAGTGCTTCACTCATATTTATCCCCCTTCACCTTCTCTTTTCTTCCTTCCTGGTCCCACTGAAGGATTTCCACACCTGAAAAGTCTCTGTTTTGCACTGTCATTTATTTTTTTAGGTCTACACTCAACATATGAGAGAAAACATATGACATTTGTCTTTCTCGGTCTGCCTTGTTTTGTTTAACATGGTGCTCTCTGATGCATCCACTTTCCTACAAATGACACAATCTCATTCTTCTTTACGACTGAATAATACTTGATTGTATTTATTACACACTTTCTTTATGCATTCATCAGGTGATAGATACCCAGACTGAACGCATGGCTTGGCCATTGTCAACAGTGCTGCTCTAAAGAGGGAGTGCAGGTGTCTCTAGGGTACGCAGATTTGCATTCCTTCAGATGCATGCCCAGGAGTGGTGCAGCGGAATCATATGTGATGGTCCTAACCACCACAGTGGCTGCAAAATTCACATTCCCACCAATGGTGTATTTTGGTTCCTTATCCCCCACATCCTTGCCAACATTTGGTTTTGTTTTCTTAGTGACTGCCATTCTGAATGAGGTGAAATGGAATCTCAGTGTAATTTTGATTTTCATTTTCCTTTATGGCTAAGGATGTTGGACAGTCCTTCAAGGACTTATTCATCAACTGTACAACTTCTTTTGAGAACTGTCTGCTCAACTCATTTGCACATTTATTAACTAAGTTATTCTTTGAGTGTTTAATAATTGGAGCACAAAAAGGACGGTGGCATGGCTCAAGTGGTAGAATGCCTACCTAGCAAATGTGAGGCCTTGAGTTCAATCCCCAGTACCACCAAAAAAAATACCACCTACAAAACTTTAGGAGGATCCAAAATGGCGACTAGGGTACAGAAGCAGAAAGCCTAAGCTCCATGACTCCAAAAACCTCCTTGAGACATTGGAGCCACACGTGGGTAATTCTGACTCCTTCTAGCCAAAATAAAAACTGTGATCACATTACGTGCAGGAAAAAATTCAAAGACTGACCCTCAAATCAGCCTTTATTTGCACCTAACAGCTGCAACTCATGACAGCAATGTGGATCCAGCCCTAGGAAACCCTCCTCCCCCACGGTGATTTTTTTTTCTTTCTTTCCTTCATTCTCCTTCCCCCATCAAGCAGAAATAAAGCATCAACAAGAATCAAACTTCTGACGTCCTGAAACCCTAGCCCGTGGAAAGCCTCCCCATGCCAGGCTGCACTGAGAAAAGTGCAGCCATTTCTCTCCACCACTGGCTCCAAACCTGCCTGTGCGTCAACTGACAGAAAAAAACAGGTGAGCACCTCGTACCATGCAGGAACCCCCCAACCACCCCCGGAACATAAACCAGCACAGCCCTCATTGCAGACTGATTCCCTCATCCCAACAAAAGTGAAAATCAAACAGCAAACTATAATCAAACACATACAGTGGAGGGAGCAGGTGGAACGCTAACCTGCACTGGAGAAAGGGGATGGGGCAAGGGGCTAAACTCAGCACAGAATTTTTAGTAAACAAATATAGGAAAGGTAGTGAAGGCTAAGAGTGGGCAGGCGATAAGCCACTCCCAGAAGCAGGGCAGGGAGTGGATCACAGACTCATCTCCTGAGCCAGATAGCAGCACCCAAAACTGAACTACCCCAGAAAACAGAAAAACAGTGAACTGTAATCTAGCATGGACAAGAGAGGGGGCAGGTGGGATGATGAACCTGACCCAGAGAAAGGGAAGGGGACAAAGAACTAAACTCCCAGTGCTGATCCCTCAGTACACAAACACACCACCTCCAAAGCAGGGCAGGAAGTGGATCACAGAACTTATCTCCTGAACCAGAGGGCAGCATTCAAAACTGAACTGCCTCACCTCACTGGGGAGGAGCTGACCAACCAGCTACAGCTGAAGGGTAACACAGCTATCAGCTGTGGAAATCAATGACAACTCTGCATGATCTGGCAAACTTACAGCACCTCACAATTTCAATTTAACTGGTAGACAGAAGAACAAAACACTACTCAAAAGCCTGGTGAGGCCATGTCAGAACTTCTGCTTATATGCCAATACCAGGACTGGATGCCAGAGGAACAACTCCAGAACTTAGTAAACTAAGACTGAAATTCTATTATTCCTGAACCCAGTGTTTTTTTTTCCTGGTTTGTTGTTGTTGTTGTTTGTTTGTTATATTATTGTGGAGGGGGGTTTAAAAAATTTTTATTCCTATTTTATTTTTTTCTTTCTGTACTATCAACTTTAACATCAATATTTTCTCATCCCTATTCTTACCGCCTTCACTCTCTCTCCTCCTCCTGTGCTAAAATCCATTGCTTTCCTTCCCAACTACTCTTTCTGCCTCTTCTTATCTACTTTCCCCCTGCACTCAACCTCCCCTGCAATTCTCACCAAACCTGTCACCAGACTACCCCTTCCTCCTACACACTCACCACCTACTGACCAACCTACTATACCGACTTTACACAACCTCAACCCCCTGTAATCCCTGACATAAGCACTCTACACTACAACAACAGAAATACACTCAAGCACACACAAGGGCCACAGAACCCAGCAGGCCCCCACTCACCCACCCCCACTTCCTGCCTCCCCTTTTAATGCCACCCTAATCAACTCCCCAAATTTCTATAGCTAGCCTAACAAACTTTAACTCCCTAAACTCCCACTGTTTATATATATTACCACCAAGGGGTCTTCTATATAATATATAAACAACTGGTCAGGTATTGAACCTGTGAATTAGTTATTGCTAAATGACTCCTCCAGACAAGGGACAGAAATAGCACACCAACCTAGCTAATAACCAAGACAGCCACAACACAAAAATCAAATCAAGGGAAAGAAAGCAGGTGACTAAAACCACCAACTAGTCTATCAAGAACATAGTTGCATAGTAAAAAGTGGAGCAACGTGAAGAAGAAGGGATGGAAACCACTCTCCTCAAAAAAATAATTTAATACAGGACTCAGAGTTAGAGGGAAATGAAGAAAATGGATACCCAGTTCCTGATCCCAACCAAACAATGGTAAGTGACAATAAGGAGCCCAGCAATGCCACAAAAACACTCTCAAAGAAGGAATCCTGCAAGAAATCACTGAGAGTTTCATGGAGAAGAGTTACATGGTTAACCAAAATGTACAAGATGCACTCAAGAAATTTCAAGACACCAAAAATAAAGAACATGAGAAACAAATTAATGAACTCAGAGCCACCCTAAGTATAGACCAAAGTGAAACAGAGAACACTATAAATAGAAAAATGAATTAAAAATGAAAACATATGGAAAACCTCAGAAAAAATAATCAAACAGAAAAACAAAACACAGTGGAAGGCCACTCAAGCAGACTAGAAAAGGCGGAAAACAGAATCTGAGAACCTAAAGATAAAATAGAAATTAAAGAAAAAACTGAAGAAATGTTAGTCAAACAACTCAAGAGCTGTGAAAGGAATATGCAAGAACTCACCAACTCCATCAAAAGACCAAACCTGAGAATCATGGGTACTGAAGACGGAAAAGAGGTCCAAGCAAAAAGGATTCCTAATATGTTCAATAAAATAATAACAGAAAATTCCCCAAATCTCAAGAAAGTTTTGCCCATTCAGGTACAGGAAGCATCCAGGACACCAAATAGTTTTGACCAAAATAGAACCTCCCCATGGCATATTATCATTAAAAAAGCAAGCACAGAAAATAGAGAATTCTGAAGGCTGTAAGAAAGAAAAAACAAATAACATAAAGGTAAACCCATCAAAATCACAGCAGATTTCTCAACAAAAATCTTAAAAGCAAGAACAGCATGGAGTGAGGTATTTGGGGCAGTAAATGAAAATAAATTCAACCCCAGGATACTCTACCCAGCAAAACTATCATTCAAAATAGATGGAGAAATAAAAATCTTCCATGAGAAGCAGAAACTAAAACAGTATCTGACCACCAAGACAATACTACAGAAGATTCTACAAGGAATTCTGCACACAGAAAATGAAAGCAAACAAAACCATGACAAGACAGGCAGCACCAAACCACAGGAGAAAAAAAGACAAGGAATCAGAGAGTAGTATTGATTCAGCTGCACACAATCAAGCCCTTAAACAACAAAAACAACTAAATAGAAGGAATCACCACATACCTATCAATATTAACACTGAATGTCAATGGACTCAACTTCCCCATCAAAAGACACCATTTGGCAAACTGGAAGATCCAATG